TTGGCCTCAATCCCCAAGGCAGGTCTCAGATGAGTGTCCCTGGTCTTTCTACACTCCAGTAAGCTAAGAGGCATTGACATCAGCAGGGGTCACCCTTCACAGCAGCACCTGGACTTCCCACAAAGCTTTCTCCATCAAGTCCTCAGCAGGAGGATACTGCGGACAGTGCAGAGCAGAACATACCAGAGGGAGAGAACTTCTTACCCTCCCTCCACCCCCAGGTCATGGAACATTAATTTGGTGAGAACTTGCGGGCAGGTGGACAAAGCAATATTGAAAATTGTACCTATTTATACTGCATAAACAACATTTATAATAGTAAAGGAAATAAAATTGTCTCCCATAGTCCCTCCACCAAAATGCCCCTATTTTTATGATCTCTATTTCCTTCCAGTCTTTGTTTCATTATATAAATATTTTTGCAGCAGTAGTCATATTGTAGATAGCATTTTTGTTACGGCTTTTCATTTAACCATTCATTAGATGTTTTTCCATGTTCCTACATGGTTTTATAATTATACTTTTCATGACTACATTATGATGTATCATAATACTTCATACCCCATTGTTGAACACTGAAATTGTTTTCAATAATTTACTGTTGGAAAAAGTGCTACAGTGCACATATTTACGCATATAGCTTTTTTCTTTCTTTAATTTTATTGCCTTCAGAAATCAAGTGAGATTATTGGGTCAAAGAGTATGAACATTTTTATGGCTTTTGATACATAAAGCCATTTATTTTACTAAAAGAATCTTATATTGCTACCAAAAACAAAACAAAACCCATTGCCGTCTAGTCAATTTAGAGTCATAGTGACCTTCTAGGACAGAGTAGAACTGCCCCATAGGGTTTTCAAGGAGTGATTGGTGGATTCGAACTGCCGACCTTTTGCTTAGCACCAGAGCTCTTAAATCACCGTGCCACCAGGGCTCCATATTGCTACCATTTCATAATATATGAATAGGCCTATTTTAAATCACACCTTTGACGATATAAGGAGTTATATTTTAAATATTTTGCTAGTTTAATTGGAATAAAATAATTCTTTGATTTTAATTTGTACTTTTTTGATGGCTGTTGAGATGAACCTTCCCCCGATATTTGTTTGTGTAGCCTCTTATATGAATTATCTGTTTGTGTTCTTTGAATATCTGTTTGGAGATTTCGCATTTTTCTTACAAATTCATATAAATGATATCTCCCCAGGCCCACCTAAATTAATGCTTTAAATTTAAACATGATAATAAGAAAAAGTTCTGCAAATATAAAACTAATACATATTATGTAAACATGTGTCCAATAAAATCACAAATTTTTATAGTGCTTATTGTATGCCAGGCACAATTCTAAGCACTTTACGACAACTCTATGAAATACGTACTATTTTATTTCCATTTTATAGTTGGAGAAACTGAAGCAAAAGAGGTTAAGAAACTTGCCCAACCCCAACCTAGTAAGTAAGCGAGGATTTGGAGCCAAGCAGTCTGTGCTGTAATCTCTTCCTTCAATATGTTAGTTAGGGGTGAGGATCAGGGAAAGAGGACAACAGGGAAGAACTGTCCTGGAAAGTCAATCCAGAATATGCACCCAGTCCCATAAGACTCACAAGACACTGGAAACAGTGTATTGGAGTGTCTTGCTTCTCTGAACTAATTGCTCACTATTGTAAGATGAATTGAGTCAGTAAATAATTTTTTTTTTTGCTGCAAGATATACACCTTTTGCTTTAGGAACTGTTACTAAGGACCTTTTGAAGTTGTGTGTGTGTTGTATTTTTATATCTGTATGTGCCAGCTGGGCTCTCTTTGTGTTTGAGTCCAGTGGTACATATTCTCTGGCCATTTCTCCTGTCTCTGCATTAAAAATCACCCCCAGACTGGAGAAACCCTGAGAGTATGGCCCCCGGACACCCTTTTAGCTCAGTAATGAAGTCACTCTGAAGGTTCACCTTTTAGCCAAAGATTAAACAGACCCATAGGACAAAACAAGACTAAACGGGCACACCAGCCCAGGGCTAAGAACTAGAAGGCAGGAGGGGACAGGAAAGCTGGTAATAGGGAACCTGGCATCGAGAAGGGAGAGTACTGACATATCATGGGGTTGTTAACCAATGTCATAAAACAGTATATGTACTAACTGTTTAATGAGAAGCTAGTTCTGTAAACTTTCATCTAAAGTACAATTTTAAAAAAAAGCAAAAACAAAAACATCACCCCCTGCTTGTGATTTAGTAGTTTTTATTTTGACCAACTTAGATCTTAAGTAGATCATAAAAACCTGTTTTGTTTTACATGGAGTTAATGGATTTAATTTTAGGGTGGTTTCAACTTACCTACTGAATAATAATTTTTGCAATTTTGGATGCCAAAGTAGTGTCAGCATTTAAATCATTTGCTCTGTGAGTGTGGAGGGACAGGACACTTTTATTAGTGAGGTTTTAATGATTTTTAAAAATTTAAACAGTTGAATTCTTCCCAGAAGCAGCAATGTGAGAAGAAAAAAAAAATCCCTGGAGGACTACTTCACCACTCTCTCCTCCACCACCACTACCACATCCCATATTTCCACAAGTTTGGAGATGTTCTTTATGCAGAAATATGGGCTGAGTGAGCTAATAAAATTATAACCACAAACAAGCGATCAAAAAATTAACACTGAGCCCTAATCCAGTTTCCATAGATACCATGTATATTAATGACTTTTAGTTGTAATCTGATTGAGTTGTCTTTGAACATTGAACTTACGTATTTTTAGTTATGGCTTTACAATGTTTTCTGTGTGGCAAAAATAATCCGTTTCAGTATTGCCATTTTGGGGTTTCAGTTTAGTGTGGCAAAATTTGATGAACTCTCTGAGTAGGTGCTGTCGTCAGTATCTTTCTTAGTAAAATTACAGAACTGTGAAATCATGGTATACAACTGTCCCTCATTTTAAGAGGAGAGAATTAGCACTCCTGAGTATAGAGAACAAAGCAGAATGTGTTTAGGTTGCCTGAAAGAAGAACATCAACTCATCAAGCTACTGAAAGACAATGTTTAACCTCTCTAAGAATTTTAGATGGCATGAGGAATTGAAGATCTGGAGACAGGAGTCAATCAGCCTTATTTTCCTGTTGAGTTTATTTCGGGATTCCAAAAAATCGACTAGTCCTGTACAGGATCCTCAAACATCCATGATCTCTTTATAAAATTCTTGTTCACCCATCACAGAGGATGGGCTGGTTATTGGTTACCAAAGGCAGCCTCACTATAAAGTGGGATCTTTGATAAGACAGGAGCCCGGTTTTAAAAGGGGAATTCACCTTTTCTTAACAGGGTTTCCTGCAGTGGTTGTAGAACCTCCCCATAGGAGTGACTGTTAGTTGCTGGAGGGGCCAAAGCCGCTGCTGACCTACTTGCTGCCACTGGTTGGAAGCAGACCCATACCATGGGTATGAGTGGGGCAAAGGCTGGGTTTTGATCCTGACTTGTGCCGTTGGCTAGGCGCTCATGTTTGTATGGCCTTGGAAAAGACCCAGTAGTACTATAGAATGATAGGTGGACAAAATGGTCCAATTCAGATAAATTTCTCTACTTTTAAGGTAATTTTCTGGTAATGTACATTTTATTTAAATTGAGCTTTCTAGTCTACCTATTTTGGGTTGCACCTCAATCTCCTTGCTTTCCCACAGACACACCAGACTCATTCTTGCCTCTTTGCTTCAGGATATAGTAACTGCTCTTTTGTTTTCACTTGGCTGTTGTCTTAGTTTGCTAGGGCTGCCATAACAAAATACCACACAATGGGTGGCTTGAAAGAATAGAAATTTATTTTCTCACAGTTCTGGAGGCTAGAAGTACAAATCGAAGGCTGTGCTCTCTGTCATCTCTAGGGGAAGAGTGCATCTTGTCTTTTATCAGCTTCTGGCAGTCTAGGGCATTTCCTGGCTTGTAGATGGATCCTCATATGGTGTCTTCCCTTTGTGTATGACTCTATTTCCATGTCTGTCCTCTTTTATAAAATGACACTCAGAAGAGGTTAGGAATAGGACCCACTACTCTGGTATGACTTAACTGTTAACATCTGCAAAGAAAAATCTCATTTCTCCAAACAAGGTCATATTCACTGGTACAGGGGTTAGAACTTCAACTTATCTTTTGGGAGGACACAATTCAATCCATAACAACTGTCTCCAGCTCATCCTTGAGATCTCAGTTTAGACATTGCTTCTTCCAGGAAGCCTACCCTGATCTACCAAGTCTGAAGTATTCCATTTAGGTACTCTCAGAGCATGAACTTCCCCATCATAGCACTTAATAACCAGAAAACCAAACCCACTGCCATAGAGTTGATTCCAACTCATAGCAATGCTGTAGGACACAGTAGAACTGCTCCCATAAGGTTTCCAAGGCTATAATCTTTATGGAAGCAGACCGCCACATCTTTCTCCCATGGAGCAGCTGGTAGGTTCAAACCACCAACCTTTCAGTTATCAGCCGAGTGCTTAACCCCTGTACCACAAGGGCTCCTTAGCACTTAATATACTACAATATTGTACTTCCTGTTTTCTTCATCACATATAAACTTCTTGAGGCAGGAAGTATGTCTGTCCTGTTCACAGTCATATTCTCAGAGCCTGGCACAAAAGCGAGCACTCAGTAAACATTTATGAAGAACAAATTCATAAATGCATGCATACAAACCCTTGTTGGTTGATGGATTCTGGAGTTTTGCTTGGTTTTATTTGTTGTGGTAGGTTTTATTGTTGAAAAAGTGATCTTGCAAATCCTTGGTAAAATATAGCAGAAGACTGTGGTATTTCTTATGAGACTTCTCTTGACAGGCTGGTTGAGGAGGACCCACTGGGATAAAAGTACTGGAGTGTCTGTGAAATCATGTACTCCTGCTGCTGCTGGTGATTTCAGAGCCCAAGAGTGACCTGGTCTTGGAGAATCTAGGATAGTTCTTTCTGCATAAGTTCTTAAGCACACTTATCTTTCTCTCTTGCCTTCTCTAGCACTGGAAGACGCAACGCAGTGAGGAATATGAAGCAGAAGGTAAGAGCTTAGGGTATTGGGGAGGCTGGGAAGGAAGGGCTGCCATTCACAAAGTACTCTTCATACCCTGCCTTCCTGTATCTCTTAGCCTTGCTCCTTAGAGCCTTGCATGCTGGAGGCCAGCTGGGAATCAAGAGTAGGAGCAATAGCAGCAACAACAAAAATAATTCCCAATTGTAGCTCCTAGTGTTAAAATCCTAGCATTTAACATAGTGCAAGAGATGGCAACTAAGACGCAGAATTCCACTTACAGACTAATTACTGTCTTACTAGACTTTTTATTTAATTTGTGAACAATCCTAAAGTAAATTATTAGTTGCCATCGAGTTAATTCCAACTCATGGTGACCCCATGTGTGTCAAAGTAAAACTGTGCTCCATAAGGTTTGCAATGGCTGATTTTTCGGAAGTAGATTGCCAGGACTTTCTTGCATCTCTGGGTGGACCTGAACTACCAGCCTTTTGGTAAGCAGCCGGCGCATTAACTGTTTACACCATCCAGTGACTCATCCAAACTAGATAATGACCTAATTAGAATGTATCCCTTGACAGGTTTCAGATGTATTTATGCAGCATAAGAACACATTGATCCTCTGGCCACCAGATGGCAATGGGGTTTAGCTAACAGTCTCAGACAGCTTCACAACCTGCCTGGGGTTAACTGCACTTAAGTATAATTGCAACGTGTTCTCTAGGTTTCCAGCCTGGAAAAACACAGTAGTAATGGGCTTAATTTCCGTCAATAAATGGCAGGGGTAGCATTAAATGGTCTTCTCAATCCTGCCAGGTTCTTCCAGGCATGCCAGTTGTGCCAGTAATTATGTTTGAGTGATGACTTTGCAGAATCTCTAAGATGTAAGTGGAAGATTTAAGTAGAAGTGGGAACTTTTAATAGAGGATAAATAAGCAGTTTTGATTTTTAAATAAGTAGTTTGAGCCTTAAGTCTTCAAATAGAACTTATCCTTAATATGTAGGTAGTTAGGAGCTTGCAACTTGCAATCATGGTTTCAGTTTGGATTGTTTGCTCCGTGTAGATCAGAATATTTGTATGCGTAGATTTAGGAGCAGGCTAATCTTGAGACTTCTATCATGAAATTATTTCCTTCTCAGAAAAAGCAGCTCTTCCCTAGAAAGAAAGTGGAGATAATACGATCTGGTAGCTATAGTTGAAACTGGGTTTATCAAGCTCTTTGGAAGAGTTCTCAACCAGTCTTCTCTTACAATCACACTAAGCCGAAGTTTGTGCATATTTTTCAGTTGGAATAAAACAAGCCTAGAACCTTGTGCAGGATTGCACAAGAAATGATCAAAGGTACCTATTTGCTCTAGTTGTAGCATAAAAACTAATGGCTCCATTTCATTTGAACTTTAGGATCAAATCAAAATGGAATTAACACTTATAGTCTTTTTCTTATGATACTTATTTTCAAAAAGCACATTTTCCTTTGAGAACAGGCTTCTCTCTCTCTTTGCAATTCCTTTGGAGACAAACACAATACATGCCTTTGTTTCAGGCCAGTTAAGATTTTGGAACCCAGATGATTTGAATGCCTCGCAAAGTGGATCTTCCCCTCCCCAAGACTGGATAGAAGAGAAACTGCAGGAGGTTTGTGAAGATTTGGGGATCACCCGTGATGGCCACCTGAACCGAAAGAAGCTGGTCTCCATCTGTGAGCAGTATGGTTTACAGAATGTCGAGGGAGAGGTAAATCTTCCAGCGTCTTTTTATTCAGGAATAATAGTCATAATAGGTAAACTGGCCATATTGTGGCTGGGAACAGCCATAGTGTGGTTTCCTACAGCATGTTAAAAAAAAAAAGTTGCTGTTGAGTCGATTCTTGCTCATGGCAACCAACCTGTTTGTGTCAGAGTAAACCTGTGCTCCATAGGGGTTTTTTTTTTTTTTCCTTCCTCTTTTTTTTAATTGTACTTCAGGTGAAGGTTTACAGAACAAATAGTTTCTCATTAAACAGCAGTACACATATTGTTTTATGACATTGGTTAACAACCCCACAACATGTCAACCC